AATTGAGTTAGAGCCTTATAGTATTAGAGACTATTTAAATATGTAACAACAGTACCTTTTAGTATAATATGTCCTTTGTCAATTGTATTTTAACGCCATTTCATTTTGTATTCTTTATACATGTGCATGTATCAGAATGTAATTTGAAATAAAGATAAAAAAAACTTTAAATGTTGCATGTGAATCAACCGGGATTTAAATTTTTTAAACTGCGGTCACAATCAGTTTATTCGCCCTTGGCTTTTTAACTGGATTTTGTGAGTTTCCCGGAAAACCCAGACATTTGCAACAATCTTACATAAAACGATGATCATTGTTACAGCTATTGCTACGCCCATTAACCCAGCCACCCTCAGCCAGTCAAGTTCCGACTCAACTCCGTCCAGTAGACCAAACTACCCCCGCACAAACTATCAAGTGCCACGCACTCATATTTCCCTTGAGTCTACACCCAATAATGTTGCGGTGGAGAACGTGTATTCCGCCCATCCGGGCAGCGCATCCACTTACGACGGCTCAGGAGTTACTTCCTCAGGTTACTTAAGGTAATTTAGCGCAAACTTGCCAGTTGTCGATTCAAAAGTTGCAATTATCCAGCCAACAACCTCCTCCTGGAAGCACGTACGCGCCGGGGATGAACGTTCTTGCAGAGTCGCAGGCTTCCAAAAGGATTCAAGCTCAGCCGCACCCTCTTAAGAGCTTTACCGTACCGGCTCCGCCTCCTGTATCAGCGCCAGGCACTCCGCAGCCCAAACATATAGGTAATTTTGGTCGCATTAAACCGGGACATTTGCTGAACATCAGCAACCATTCAGTTACAGTTAGGCCTACGTCGTCGCCATACAAAAAGCCTCCCGCAAGCAGTACGAGTAACCTTACAAACACGCCGCCTTCTCGCATAAATGCGAGCAACCCGCCTCCTCACACTGCTGAGGAGGTGCAGCGGTTGCAACCGTCTCATTCCACCGAGGAACTTAATCAAGAAATGGCCAATTTAGAGGGCCTCATGATGACGCTAAACGCAATAACCGCTAAAGAGTTCGAATGCTAGAAGGAAGTCGCTGTTTGATGTAAGTTTTTTTCGTTTTATTGTTGATAAAATATTGTTTTGTGTACAAGATTGCCTGTTTTTCTGCGAATTTTTTTGATCAACACCCAAGCAATCGGGAACTTAACGTAAGAAGATTTTTTTTATATAGTTTTAAAACACCGATAAGGAATCTTGTACAATCTGAAGACTGAAGTTAAATTATTTGTTATTGAATTATTTGTTGATTTGTTTTGGGAGACGCAGCTAATATAACACGCCAACTACCTTGTATACTTAAAATGTAAACACTAATCACAAACAAAATCGGCCTCTAACACTGTAGGAATGTAAGATAGTAAACCGATCTCAAATTAGGCGACTCGCAGGATTTTTTATGTTCGAAGAATAACAGTTCTTGTTCAGAGCATTTCCGTCAATATATCTAGCAATTTTATAGAGAAATGACCGCAATTCAACGCAAGATTTACAGCTGATGTGTCTGTAAGTAGCTGCAAAAACAGTATGATTAATCGGCCTCTGCTTACATGGGAAAGGAAAATTACGTTTTAGGCAATTTTCAAACCGCAAAGAATTTATTTTAGTTTATTTTAAGACAAGCAAGCTTTTAGGTAAAACTAAGTAAACTAGTTTGCTATGCAGTGGACGGTGTGTTAATTTCATCGCTACTCATTGCATGAGTGGATAAGTATTTTATTTCCATATGCCTTACTTTTAGATTTTATTAACGGGGCTACTAAACTGGCTGTTCCTTGTACATATAAAATTAATTAAAATCGCTTTAGGGAGAGAAGATGTAAATATCAAAAGCTTGCCGATAGCCTCAAGACTTACGGAATTGAATATATCAAGTACCTGCAGTCAGAAGCTGTTGAACGCTTGATTTTATTCGAAAAACATCCATCTGACATAGTTCCTTTTAGTTAACGCACACACGTGCTAGTTTTATTGGACTGCTCTCATAATCTTGCCTCTCAGAACGTTTTTTCTCCCCAATTATGTACATAGTAATCCAATATCGGTCTGATATTCAATTTTTACGCGAAAACTATCAGTTTTTCGTAACTTTTTGAAAGGTTTGACCAAGATTTCACTGCCTAATAAAATTTTTAAGCTTTATTCTATTTAGATAACGCGTGATAAGAATCTCATAGAAGAATGGTTACTTTTATAAAATAGCTCAAGATCAGATTTGTTTTTTTTTTCATGTAAAATTACTGTTCGAGGACGAACGTAATGCCGCGTCTAGACCTAACGAGCCAAGCCTGAGCTGCGGAAAATTATTTAGACAAAGGAATTCTGCCGCGGCTCAGGCTCTGTTCGTTACGTCTGGACGCAACAGATTGCAATTAATGACCATTTTATTTGTAGTATAATCCAGTTTTAAGTTTAGGTAGGAATTTTGTACATAAACATGTACAAATTACGCTAGAGATAACAAACGTTTTGTATTATTGTAGATGCAACTTTGTTGTCTAAGCACATTTTATATATTTTTATACAGTAGTACAAAATGTTGGCGAAACTGTGTCCCATGCGTTTCAGGCACTTACTATACATTTATATTTGCTTTGTACATTGTATTGTGTTAGGATGCCATTTTCTTATCGATCAAGGTTTTTACATAATAATGTTTTACCAGTTGAACAGTTGACCTGGGGATCCGACGTAAAACGATTATTTTGCAAAAACCTTCTCTATTATAATCTTGTGATGTGTAAAAGTTTTTATATTTAATATATTTATTAAAAGTTTAATATACGGCGGTAGAAAGTATGCTTACTTTCGGCCCATAACAAGTGTGTATTACACATTCTGCCTAAGGCCTTGTATAGGAGGTAAGACCGGGAATATTTTATAAAATTGAAGTTTTTTACTCGTAAGTAAGTAATATCTATAAATGTGACTGAAAAATAAAACATGATGTTTTAATATAAACCGAATATATGTATTTTAATAACATCCCAACCGTTGAAACACGTTCCTTAAAAGTATGTTAATGACGCAAAACGTGAAAAAACAACAATACCTTTCAAAAAAGAAACTAAAGTGATTCCTCTTCAGCAACCATGGTTTCAAAGTCATCAGAGTTTGCACTATATGGTTTCAAGATTTCTTTCAATTCATTAGCTGAGGTAGAAAGTACATAGCATTGTTTTATTCTCAAGTTCCATTGCATGTCCAAACGCTCCTTCTCTTTAATTAAATCCGCAAATTCTGCCTTTAAAAGGTCGATGTTCTCTTTCATTTGCCTGCGGCAGGGTTGCTGATTAACAGTTCGCGCAATCAATGCGTAATCGATCTGATTCTGTTTGAATATTTTCGCCTGTTTCAACAGGGATTCCTGCTTGTTCAAATCCGCACTGATTTCACTGACTTTGTCTTCTACTGCACCATGCAAAGCTCGGTATTTTGCCATCTGAGCCGCATTACTTTGAAGGATCAGATCAGACTTTTTGCGATTGCATTCAAAAGCTCTCAGCTGAGATATTAGAGAATCAAATGTGTGATTGGACTGAGCGGCTGGAGAATTATCGTTAATCCAATTGGTGACTTGTTTCAGGAAATTCTGCAGTTTTTTATCGTCACCAGTGCCGTTGCCATCCAGAAGCAATTTTCTTCTGATTATATGTTCTGGAAAAATTTTGATTGCTAAATTTTTAATCTCAGATGTTCAGTTTGCCGAAGAGGTCGGCCACTCTAGTGAATGTTAACTGTTGAAAATGGACATTGTGAATTTACCTTCGGTCATTTTATTTGGGAATATTAGGATTAGGATTATATTCGGATCAGGGAATATTGGCTTCTACTATTTGCTACAGTTTAATAAGAAACTTTTCTTAATTGACAGTTTACTTCAAACTGAGCAAGGTTAGGTTAGCAAAAATCCCCAGTAACTTCCCAACCGACCTTTATTCTGATGGAATTTTTAGTAAAAAATAAAAATTTTACATGCTTGTTTTTTGAGCCCAATCAATTGCTTCCGGCGTAAGAAGCTGCCTGATGTGCATATATAAATTGCTCGGGTTTATAAAAGGGAAGAAATCGGCTAAAAAAACGGCTGACCGTTTGGCAACCATAAATACACGCGGAATACATCATTTAAATAATCTGTCAGTAAAATGTCGCAAACAGATCACCGTTGCTACTGTCAGCTGATGTCAGTGTCAGATATTTGTATAATTGCGATAATTTTTGCGGAGTGAAACCATCAAGAGGAGAACTGGTTATTTGATCCACGTTAAACGAGTTTAGTAGTTGGAAATCATCAGGTATTGAGTGCCAGTGTTTGTGAACAGTTTTGTGGCGGGTTCAATTAGTTGTGTTGTGTAAACAGCTGAATATGGATTTTTCTACCTATTGATTCCCCTTTTCTGAGGTAAGCCCCTCTTTGTAATATTTACCCGCGCTGTGATTTTTCCCAATGCAGTTTAATAGCACTAAAACGCAATACGTATCGCAATTTTATATATCGACCACCTAAAGTGAATGTAAACATTACATGAGCTTGACCTAGCACTAGTCTGAATAAGCCCTACATGTCCTATGTAGGTTTACATGTAAACACCCTTGAAGAAAAGGAAGTATTCGTCCCATGAGGAAAACTGCTCAAACGCAGTTTGTTGCAGTGAACTTACATAACCTTATTAACTTGCATGGGCACTGCAAACATGAACCTCAGGCAAGAATATGAAATTATAAGATGGACATTGTTGTTAGTTTGTTCAAAACCACATTTCCATTCATATTCTGTTCACAGAGAAATTTTGAGTGTTTTGCAGAATCTTTTTACTTCGAAAGTTTCCAAATAAAACATTTTTTTATGTTGAAACCGAGATCGAAACTCTCTGTGTAAATTGCAGCAATCTAAAAAAATTAATGATGCAGTTCCATGCATCCAATTTATACATACATACATATACTCGTCCGATGTTGTGTAAAGTTCAAACCTACAGATTTAACTTTTATTGGATTGAAGCGATTACAAGTTTTTTAGAGCGCGGTGTTTACTAAACAGGTCAAACTAACTGCACAATTTTTATCAAACTTACAGCATCTTGAGAGTTAAATGTCTTCTAAACATGGTGAAAATTTCAAATTGCTACTAGCTTTCGTTCGAAAGATGCGAATCTTTAAAGCGAGACGCAGTTTAGAAAAAAAAACCTCTATTTTGAAGCAGATTTTTACTAAGCTGACAAAAATCCGGACTCTTGGCGGTTTGTATCAAACTTTCGGCATATAGAGTTTCGTCTCTTCTAAGGATGGAGAAAATTTCAAATTGGTCCTAGCTTTTGTTTGGAAGATGCGAGCTTTTAAATGCCAATTTTTAAAGGAGAGAGCGCAGTTGAGCGAATACATTCTTTATAAGACCGATATTTACCAAGCTGAAAAACTCAGGATTATTGGCGATTGTTCTAAAACTATGAGAACCTAGAAATTAAAATATATTCTACAGTTGGTGAAACTTTCCATTTGCTCCTTACTTTAGTTCGAGAGGTGCGAATTTTTAAAAAGGCGAGCGCTCTTGAGCAAAAACATTTATTATGAAACCGATAATCATCAAGCTGGAAAACCTCAGGATTATGGGCGATTGTTCTAAAACTCTGAGCAGATGTTGATCCACGTGTCTTCTAAAGATGCGGAAAATTTAATTGGGCCATTTGCGTTAGTTTAGAAGTTGCGAAATTTTAAATAAGATAGCGCAATTGTGAAAAACCATCCATTTTGAGACCGGTTTGACTAAGCTTTCAAAAATCAGTATTATCTGCGATTTCTATGAAACTTTGTGAATCCGTAGAGTCGAGTGTCTTCTAAATATTGAACATTTCAAAATTTCAAGTGGCAACTTGCTTTAGTTTAGAAGGTGCGGATTTTTTAAGGACAGCGCGCAGTTGAAGAAAATCATCAATTTTGAGGCCGGCATTCACTAAGCTGACAACAATCAGGATTCCTTTCAATTTTTATAAAACTTTGATCATCTGTAGGTCGATAGAAGTGGTTTCTAAAGATGGGCGGAAATTCAACTTCTCAGTTGCACTAGTTTAGCAGACGCGAATTTATCACACCGATTTTTACCAAGCTGGCAACAACCGGAATTTCCCGCGATTTTCATAAAACTTTGAAAATCTGGAGATCGGAGTGTCTTCTAGATATTTTGTGAGCCAGTAGTTTGTGTAAAGCCAGAAATCTTACTTCATACGAATATCGGACATATACATAAAGCATCTGACCAATAGAAAACTTTGTCGGGCCATGGGAAATCGCAAAAATCGTGCTTCTTCTGAAGGCATAGAAGATGTAAGTTAATACTGCAGTGAACTGGAAAGAACGCACTCACTTCAGTTCTGCATCGGGTTTCTAACGATCCGATTGTGTTCTTCAAGAGTTGATCCGTACATGTTAATGCGTGCTAATTTTTTCAATATAATGTAGGACAATAATAAACCGATCGATCCTTGACATATTTAAAAATAAACACAAAATAAAGTCGAGGTTGCATTTTCAGCTGTTTGGGGCAAATAACCGCGGCAAAATCCTTGCCCATATCTGACTAACGTTGTTCAAAAAACTGTATTTACCGAACCAATTTCACATATTTCCGGCTCCGGGTCAATCTATTTATAAAAAACCAGCAAATAGTGTGCAAACATTTTAGTGACATCTTTAATCTACTAGGTGCGATTCATGGACAGCTCACAGAGGAAGAACTTTTCTCAAATTTAGATCGGAAGATGTCGAGTCCTAAACGAATCAAACTGGCTGCTAACCGGCAGACTTCAAGAGGAATGCATCCGGTCCTACCTGGTGAGCTTATGGAAGACACTCCTCTGGTGGATGTGTTTGTAGGCAAAATTAAAGACCCCAAAACTACCTCAAAAGTAGTTCTGAGTTTGAACTCTTGCCTGCCTGTTGCTGAACTGACTCACTTGAAGAGAGTCAGATGCGGCGAAGTTTTGCTGTTTCCCGCCGATAGTTTTGCTCTGGATCAAGTGCATGAGTTTCTCAAAGCCAAAGGCTTTGACGTCCAATTATTGAGTAAAGAAGTGCGGATAGTCTCTGTGGCCAGAATAGCGCCTAAAACCAAGAAGCAACACACCAAAGTGCATGCGTTTTGGCCCTGTAATTTCCACAGCGATAAATACATAGAGAAATTGTCTACCAACACTCTTTACACCAGCACTGAAATCGCCCAGCATGAAAACTACATGAAAATGGCCATTTTGGTGGCCACTACTGCGGCCAAATTGAGCTTAAGCCGCCAACTTCTGGGAGTTGTGATAGTGGATCCGAAAATTCCCTCCGTAGTTGCTTTGGGGTTTTCTGAGGCTCACGAAAACCCTTGCAGACATGCCCCGATGGTAGCAATAGACAATGTGGCGAAAACCCAAAACGGCGGTGTTTCGACTTCGTATGAACCACCGCAGGACAAATCTGCTCTCAATCTGAGCGGTTTTCATCCACAGTTGCTTTCAGTGATCAAGGCAACATTTCCCAATGAAAGCCTGGGATCGTCATGGTTCAAAGGGAAGAGTGCGCTTGAGGAACCGTCCGATGGTCCCTATTTGTGTACGAATTATTATGCCTACTCTACACATGAACCGTGTGTAATGTGCGCGATGGCCTTAGTTCATAGTCGAGTGAAACGAGTGTTTTATGGGGTGAAAAGCTCTAATGGGGGGCTGGGAACTTTGTGTAAAGTTCACGCAGTTAAGGACTTGAACCATCATTATGAAGTGTTTGCTGAATTGTGTCTAGACGAATGTAAGGCCTTGTAGTACAAGAGTGAACCGCTTGTAAATCTGGTCGACTCATTTGCCAGTGCACAGCAATAATAAGTTAAACAAATTCTCCCAAATCATCCAAATCTATCCGACAATACCTTCGTTATCACGTGCGTGCGTATTAAATAAGGTCGTGTTAAGTCATTCAGTCAATATTACGTTCTGGCTAATTTATTGTGTTATTATTTAGTGTTTTCACCAACTCCAAACGGTTTTTAGTTCGTCTTTTGATGGACCAAATGTATTTATCATGTATTACACCATTGACAAATTGTTGTTGTTTTAATTACGTTTCCCAATCCCTAGAAGTGTGTTAAGTTCATAGAAGTTCGACTTTTAACACTGATTATCGTGGTTTTTGAGAATAGAAGAAGTTTTCTACTAGCAGAAGTAGAAGTACTTATATGAAAATACCAACAAGGAAAGTTTATGGAATTTAATGTGCTCCTTGTACGATATAAATTGAGTAATTTTGAGCAATTTACGTTTTTTTTTTAATTGTAGAAAGATTGAGAGCTCTACCTTCAATTTTTCGGCTTTAAATTAACAACAAAAATTTGAAAGAGCAAGTTTAGTGCCAATAAATAAATCTGTATTTGGAATTAGTTAAGAAACATTTTTTGTGAGAAGTGAGCTGTGAAGTAAGTATGATTCTCTAGATGGCAGCAGAATTTACTAGCGCACTTTTCAACCCGTTTTAAAAATAAACATCATATGAACGTGTATCGTAAACGTCCTAAAGTTTTCGTACGAATCGATTGAGCTCAAAAAACATGCATGTGAAATTTTGATTTTTGGTAGAAATTTTTCCGGTCGATTTTTGGAAAAAATGAAAATGTTCTCAAAATGTCTCAAATTTCACATCATTTTCAGCTCACGCATGCGAGGGATGCATCGAACTCATTGAAAAACATTGTAGAAGTTTCAGATCCGAAATAATAGACATTTTCGGCACATTTTAAGCGGTTTTTGAGCGTTCACGATCTTTAACTGACGATTTCTTCCTTATTATTGACCTAAACACTTTATAAATGCATATTTGTGACCTTCTTACGTGGAAAGGAATAGATTGAGCTCAAAAAACACGCATGTAAAATTTTGATTTTTGGTCGAAATTTTTCCAAGGGTGGAGGTCGATTTTTTGAAAAAATGAAAATTTCCTCAAAATGTCTTAAATTTTACACCATTTTCAGCTCACGGACGCGAGAAATGCATCGAACTGACTGAAAAACATGATAGAAGTTTCA